TAGATGATTTGTTTTTCCTAGCAGTTTCTTAAGATCTGCAGTCTGAATGACCATTTAGAAACCTCAGGTTTTTGCATTTCTGGGGTTTGTTTGGTTTTTGTTGGGGTTTTTTTTTGGGGGGGAGGGTGGGAGTGAAGAGCAGCATGTTCCATTTTTCAGCCTACTGTAACACTACCTGTCCCCCCTGCAATGGCAGCTGATGAGTTCTGGAGTAAATGTTATCAAGCTCAGCCAACCTGCAAACCTCTAATTAATTCATGGACATCGTCTTAATGCTTCTGAAGCTAGTTTCACTAGCTAGTTCCCCACTACAATTCATCCATTGCGGAGAATATAACCATTACCTATGCTATACCATTATCTTTAAGCTCTAGGCATGACGAGTTTTTCCTGGCAATTTCTCCAAACCTGTACCTTACAGCTGCAGCCGTTTTCTTTCAGGCCAAGAAACATGGAAGCAGCAAGAATTCATACACACAACACATTTGTTTCTGTGCTACATCAATATATTGCCCTCATGATGTATATTGGGCAGGGCCTTGAAAACAACCTAACTTTACCTCAGAGAGAAAAAAAATGCAGATTTTAATTTCAGGAAAGCACAAACCATGGCCTCTCTATACTGATCAAGCGTCATATTACTGCAGTACCTAGAGTTAACAATCGTAACAAGCCCTGGACAAGCTTTCTGTAGGAAGAGCATTTCTTCCTCTTCATTTGAATTGAAGTATAACTTTATTCTACCATGAGATATTCCCAATATACCCATGAACCATAACAAGCTAAAGGTCACTGAATTGTGCGAAGTTTCATTTTCAAGGTTTGCAGGTTTGTGTTTTTTTAAAACTAAAAATAACAGAGTTGGGATTTTTGGTCATGGTCAAACAGTGATAAAATTAAGAACAGATAAAACCACAGATAAAAGTTTTTTGATACTTGCAAGCTTGGTTTTGTTGAAGGAGGGGAAGTAGTGCCATTTAATCAAAAGCACAAAGCATCAAGTGTTTGTCAGAGTGAACAGAGAAGCCAAGGCTCAAAGAGGTCTGAAATTCAATGCAGAAGACTGCTTTCCTAAAGCACAGCCACAGTGCAGGAGAGATGGAACAAAGGAACGCAACATTCATTTGCCTGGAAGTGTTTGTTACAAAAATATATCACTTGCAATGAGACATGCTTTGTAACTGCAATACACAGTAATAATATTTAGGATAGCAGTAGCTGCTAGATGAGTCTTCAACTCAGTCATCACCATCTGAAAATGCTCAGGCTCAGCAGGAGTATAACTACACCTTACTCTCCCCCAACTTCAACCAGACCCAGCAAAGCACATCTATGATAACCAAAAAGTTGGCTTGTTATTCAAGAGATAAGAATTTAGCTCTTTGCATAGCTTTCAAAGTAAACAATCTTTTGACATGCGAAAGTGCTTGGAGCCTATCCAAAGAGTTCCTGCCAGCTTTATTTTTTTTCTTGCTTCTTGTTCAGAGTGGATTCATAAGCATTACTTAAGTTGTTTCGGTTCATCAAATGTTTTTAAGGCTATTTTGGAGTATTAAAGAGACTCCACAGATTTTTTTTTTTAACCAACTGAAGAGGACAACATTAAGGTGCATACAACAGAGTTAACGCTTGTCATTGTTGCATTTGACAAACGCTCCAAGTGGCACAGTCAGAAAGAACTTGAGCAAAAGGAAACCTTTCATCATGCAAAACAATACTGTCATGCCACAGCCTTCCTAATGCCCAATGGGCCTCAGAAGAACTACCCCTTCAAATACAGTTCACAGTTTTAAAGTTTTAACATCTGACCAGAGAAGTCCTGTAAAAGACCAAGGAAAAAAGGCGACAGCAGAAGCTCACTTGGCTTTGCAGAGTGGCCATGTTAGACTGGGGGAAACCCCCCTAGGCAGAACAAAAATAACACTGCCGAGCACTGGGTGCCTGATCACCCAGGGGTGATGCAAGGGAGAACACAGGAATTGCTCTGGAGACTGCCAGCCTAAGAAGGGGCAGCTCGCAGGAGTAAAGCAAAGCAAAGCGGGACACGTCAGATGTAGCAGAAGGACTGGAGACTCTGCAGAGCAATGGAGTGAGCGATCTTACACTAAATTAGAAAATTACTGCATCTAGCTATGGTCAACTGGTATTGACCTGAGAGATCAAGAAGAAACATGATAGAGTCTGCCCCACTACAAGTCTTACATTTAAATGCATCATCTTGTCAGGATTAACCTGATGTCTATGATTAGCCAGAAGATTTTAGCCTGACAAAGTTCTTATTCAAAAGAGGCAAGTAATAAACAAATTGTACTAAAATAAAACTAGATCTTGATCACTTGCTGCAACAGCATACAGTTTCTTATAGAGGGCAAGGAACGGTTGGTAATACTTGGTGACAGCACACAGATGCTTGCTGAAGGGCATGAAGCTGTATGGAAAAAATAAAAAATCCAACTCTTCCATGATATTTTAAGGGGCCTCTGGAGGTCTCGTCCACCCTCCTATTTGCAGTGGAGCCATCACCAATGCTAGATCAGGGCTGTTGTAGCTTTGTTGAGCTAAGTCCTGAACCCTTTCAGGAACAGTGATTCACCAACTCTCCGATAAACTGTTCCCTGTGCTTTGCCACGCTCCTTGTGAGCAAGTTTTCCCTGAAGCCCTTCCAGAACTTCCCATGCTACAATTCAGAGCTATAGCCCCTTGTTGTATTATCTAGGGCTTGACCCCACAACCTTGTAACTACCCTCCCAACAGCTGTGGGCTCCCATTAGATCACCCTGCACCTTCTCTTCACAGGCTAAACCAGCCCTGCTCCCTCCAGCTCTCCTCATAGCTCACGTGCTCTAGGACCTTGACCACTGTGGACTCTGTTTTCTCAGCATCTCTTAAACCAGGAGGCCCAAAACAGGATGCTATTTTAAGCGAGGCATCCCTGGTGCCATGCAGAAGAGGTAATAACTTCCCTCAATCTGCTGCTCGTGCTCTTCCTAAGGTAACCCAGCATGTGGCTTGCCTATTGCATTATGAGAGTAGTGTTGGCTCATACTCAATTTCACACTCAAAGAAGTCAATTTATGATTCATACACAGGGTTTTTTAATAACATAAATTGAGAGCTAAACACCCAGAGGCTAGAATCCATTAACGTATATTTGAGCAGTGCCTTTAAAGAGTCACGGTGGATAGAAAGTCAAAACCAGCATGGATAAGCTGAGGACAATACTGAAAGCCCTTAGAAGTTCACGTCAGACTGATATGCATAGGCACAACCACTCAAAACTTTACAGTTTAAAAACAGTTTATTTGCTTTGAGGTCAGAAAGATGAGACTGCATTAGTGCAGGAAACCAAACAAGACAAGTCTCTGCCTGGAGCTCCAGCTTAGTCACTGAAAAGTTTGTCCTAAAGTACCCTACCAAATCCCGTTTCACTCTGCAGACCTCCACTCACCCATGAAAAGGGCGAGACAAACGAGCAACTGCAGTAGGTTGCTTAACGTGCAAATAGAAGACACTGAAATTACTGTATTAAAGAGACTGTTATGAGAACCTACACTGGACCAGAAAATTTAAAAGGCCACAAAAGGGGTCTTATAGGTAAGATAAGTTAACATATAACATGTTGTATGTTATTTTATATCTAAGAAGGAGATTTTAGAGTCAGATGTTTTCTTCAGACCCTGCAGTCAATACATCGAAAATGTGAGTATGAATTCATCACTGCACGGTCAGTATCAAAAAGCTACTGTACAATATAATTTAGGCAGGACAGGAACCTCAAGTAATGGCAAAACTGATTACAGTCATGTGGATTTAGATGCTCAAGAATAGCAAAAATCAAGACAGAAAAGAGAACGGATGAGCCCAAATTTGGATGGCAACTGGGGAAGATAGCTACACAAAGGTTACAAAAAAAATGCTTGTGTCATTTCAAACTGCAACAAGAGACACTCCCAATAGGAAGACAAGCAATCATCTGTGCTGGCATTGGTCTCTGCCAGTCAACATTTAGAATACCCCAGAAGAGTTGCCACTGCCTCAGAGATTTGTCACTGAGGTTACCAGAGCAATCCTGTTTTCACCCAGACCTTTCCCCTTTGAGAGTCAGCCAGCTGACTGAAAACCAGCAATAGAATCAGAAGTTACTGAGCAATTTATTAACTAGTAGAGCAAGCACCAAATGTTACAAATTCAATAATCATTGATTTAGAAGGTACTTTACCCATAAAGAACCTCAAACTAGGTTAAAAAAAGTTCTTCAAATTTTTTCATTCAGATCTTGTGACGCTGGAGGGTGCCTTTCAAATACACTATGCACTCAAGCATTCCATGGGTCTTCACGTGTTCACAATACAAACTAATATTCAATCTACTGGTATAAACAGAATCCAGGAAGAATAGTGCAAGAGGATGTTTTGCAGGCACTGTAGTTCCCAATTCTCTGGCAAGTCTCCACCCGCATTAATGATTCCCAATTGTTACTTCCTTAGCCCTTCCAGCCTTGGCATCCCTTATGACTTTTAAGTTTTCTCATCTCAGCACTCCTTGTTTACATATGTTGCTGCTGCTCAACTGCACGGACTATAGGAAGATACTTGCTTGTGAAGGAACTGCAACTGTTTTGGAAGTTAACAGCCCTTCTGCTGAGAAGTGACACCTTATCAGATGGGTGCTTCTCAGCCATTTCAGGATAAGCAAGTGAGGTTTCCTTACTGAGAGAGGGTGAAACCAACAACACAGGAGAGCAACAAAGAGCCACTGAGCAGGCTTCCTATGGTTACTAACCGTTCTGTATCGTCAGCTTTTCCATAGTAGGGATCTGGAGTTACCTGGACAGCAGCTGGGTTTTGTACCCAGCAAGCTGGGCCGATGGAAGGAACACGCTCCTTTGGTTTCCCACACAAAGAAAATTCTCAAGATTTGACTGAGCACTGATGTAACAGATGCGGCCCTTCAGAATGAAAGCAGCAAAAAGCGAGGCAGCATATTTAACCCTGCAGTACCTGACTGGAAGACGTATCTCGCTAAGCCTTGCATTAATTCTGCCGGCCAGGTAGGTGGTGCCGACTCGCCCGTTTCTCTCTTTAGCCGAAACGTCAACTCAAATCCAAAACCACTTGGTCCATCTGTTCCTGTAAACCTGGAGGGAATGAAAAACGAAAAGTCACAACATACTCCTTGTAACCAGAGCAGGCTGCAAGATTAGGACCATGGAAAAAGGATGAGTGTTCTCCTCATAGAAAAGCTAAGTTTAGAAAGTCTTTTATTTCAGTCTGCTCTAGCTCAAATGGCATAACATTGTTAGGTTAGTTGATGTAATACAATTTCAAAGATAACTATCATAATAGTGTTTTCAGTCAGAATAATACTGTCTTGGAACCATGACTTCTTTCCTGGGACCAGTGGGATTTTCAGCATCCTGAATTTGTTTTTAAAACATCGTTGTAAATTTTGCACCTATAGCTGCCCTGATTATATTTGCTTAAATGGGAACAGCAAAGAAAGCGCACAACAGAAAATGATGTTATTCCACCCTTGTGAATTCAAATTTCTACACATTGAGAAGTGGAATGCAACTAAAGTACTGGGTAGCAGTTTCTGGGTTGAAGCAGTTGAGTTTTGATGCACAGCACACAATTTCTGTGTTGTGGATGGTCATGGGGGAGGAGGGAAACAAGAAGATGCAGGGAGAAAGTTAATAACCTCTCACACAATGCACTAATTCTTATTTTGCTCCACTATATGCTTGCGCACATTCTTCTTGTCTATCCAGGAGGACAATAGTGGAGAAGCATTGAATGACAACTACTGCTCAAGAAGCAGTAGTTTGGCCATTTCCCCACTTGACAGAGATCGGTGCCGATTTATCTGGTTTGGTCAGATAGGGTCTATCCAGCAGAAAAAAGTCATGTTAGAAGTATCAAGGCTATAATGAAAAGGAGCAAATAAAGGATATCTGTGTACTACTCTTTGCTTCAACAAAACTAGTCCTTGAGAATCCTGTATTTTATACATACAGGAAAGTTCCTGTTTCGAGTCCCCAACAACTAAAAATGCCACGTTTGCCTGTGAAAAAATGAGAAACCTCATGGACAAATATATAAGCTTGCAAACTTCAAAGCAAGTTGGGGACATCCATGTCCTTTCTACCACTGTCTTCACATTCCTCACTCGTTTGCTGTGGCTGTTCCACAAAGGCAGAGGAAAGAAAGAAGGATTTACACTGAGCATAAAGACACCCCACAGAAGCTTTCATAAACCAGTATCATTCTGCAAGTTCAAATCTCCAACACCTGCAGCCATTGGTAAATTCTCTAGAGAAACTTTGCAAATGTCTTGGATGCTGGTACCTTGCTGGCACATATGAAAGGTACAGTGCACAAAGTGTTAACATTGTACTACTACTAAAAACAGTCAAACAGAGCAGTCAGGAGAGTCATGAGAGCACTCTCCATTTGAAAAACACAGCTCACCAGCAGTGCAGTGACCAGTTCCAAGTGTTGGATGATTGTTCCTATAGCAAGGAGCTTGGTTTGAAGCAGAAACGTTTTCTAGCAGCCCTGCCTAATGACAAGTGTTAAAAGTGATCAAACTTAAGCATTCATGCAACTCCTCCATCATGCAATGTAACTTTATTTGAGGATTCTTCAAGGAAAGTTTGATTGTGGTAGACTTTCAAATGATGTAACAAAGGTAGTTAAGAAATGTACCCAAGGACAGAACTAAACTATGGGACAGCCCAAAGAGATAACAACAACTGTGACTGAAAACAAGACAGCAGATATTGAAAGTCAGACATCTACAATGAAGGGGAATAAAGTCTTTTTTGATATATTGTTTATTTCATTAGTATAAAAATATACAAGCATGTCGATTTTTGTTTCCCTCCATATTATTCTCAACAAAGAATTTGAGAATTATATACTACCAAAGCAAATTCTCTATGAACAGAGCAGATAATGCATTTCAGAATGGTCAACTGGCACATACAAAACCTTTTTTAGGAAACAAGTGTACCTTTAAGCAACAAGACAAATAATTACATTTGGTTCTTAAACAAAGCAAGAGCTTACTGAATAACCAGCCAGCCAGGGAGTGGAATCTGGATGTGCAGTGAAACCTGTGTTCTGCAATCATGCATGCAGGTCCACCAAAAAGATTGGTATAGGATGGCAATAGCCTTACAAGTGTGAAGTTGTACTTTGTACATTCAGCACCCCTGTAGTGTTTTATTAGTTTCACATATCAAATAGCAAAGGAAAAAGAGAAATATTTCTTAAAGGGAGAAACAAAAACACTTCAAAGTGGGTAGTTTTCAAGGATTGATTCCAGGAAAAAGCATACATCAGAAACTGAAACACATTATGAACGGGTCAATTTTAAGAAGGATCAAAGTTAACAAAAAGCCTTCAAGCTGATCTTCCACAGTTAAAATTTCTGGAAAGATGGCTCCCTATTGAATTTCCTCCTTTCAAGGCATGTTCTGAAACAACACAGCTTTACTTCTAATATGCATCGAGCTAGAGTTTAGTGTTTGGTTTTGTTTTTTTTTTTAAACTCCACAGATCTCTCTGCTTCTCATAAATAACTGTTTAAGAGAAGACTACACATGCTTTATATTGATCCATACGCAAGTTACTCAGTAACAAAAGTGTTCAGGTGAGTATCCATCAAATTTAAAGCAAGATGAGCATTTAGGAGAACACTGCTGGTCAGCAATACATCAGCAGTCACAAAGCAGTAAAACTGACAGGCAATGTTACTTACATGATTTTTTGTATGGTAATGAAAGAGACTAAAACAGAGAAGAACTACTAGAAAATAAATAGAATAAAACATAAGGAAACAAGCAGTAAGTTACTTTCCTTCTAAGATTTAATCAAAAGATGTATCTTCTAAAAAACTCAAAAAATGCAGCAGCATACAGTGCTTATAATTCTCAAATTCTTAAATTAACAGTTACATCTTAGAAAAATCCTAACTTGCATGTAAGAGATTTCTATTTAAAGATTAGATTTAAAATGTTTTTGAGTAGTTAATGGTCACAGGTTGCTGAAAATACACTGCTTTGTTACAGTGAAATTTTAAATACATGCAATTCACCTGTATTGTGCAGCTGTTCCGAGATAACAGTCTATAAAGTAAAAGTCTTTGATCTGTTTAATTTTAGGTTGGTAATTTGTTTTTGAAGAAATTGTGACACATGTGGCTTTAAAAGCTTGCGATTATTTTAGAAATCCTTTATATTTAATTCGGACAAGTCTTTCATAGGAAGAAATAATAATATTCCAAATGTAATTAGGATAGTCATTTTCAGTTAGCATTTTTGCCAAAGCTTTTGCTTTTATTCTTAAAAAAAAGCATTGTATTTGAAAGTAAGTTGAATGTAGTTTCAACAGCTGCCATAAAATTTCTCCCAATGAACAATGGACCATAATACAGGACCAGAGCTCCTGGCCGAGTTTTAGGGGATGCTCATGAGAATGGAGGCAGACGTGAGCTTCAGGAACTAAATAAACCTATACGCCTGCCACATGCCTCTGATCCTTGCTCTAATGAAAATCAGAGAAGAATCCAGTAGCCGAGTTACGCAGCTTGGCTTCTCTTACGGAAGTCCTTTTCACTAGGGAGTGAGTGCTTACACCGGCCACAACTCCAAAATTTGTGAGGATAAGGATGCATCAGTCCACTGGCAGAGAGGCAAGTAGCAGCCGCAGCCAACAAATGCATGGGAAATGAATTTGCCCAGTAAGAAGCCCGAGACCTCCAGATACACATGCCATACGAATGGAAGACCAAGCAAATGGCTTTTTATCCCCCACAAGGATAAAGAGACTCCTCCCTTATATCTGGGCCATCAGCAGCTGCTTATTCCCCCAAATCACCTGTGTCCATTTTTGTTCGAGGCCTTACCAACAAGACAAAAGATGCATCTATCATAACCAAGAAACCCATCCATGATCGGGGAGCTAATAAAGTGAGATTCCCCATAAACAAGTTGATTTATACAAAAATGTTCCATTACTTCCATGTGGAAACACTGGATTCCCATGGCAGCTGCCTCCTTGTAGGGTATGTCCCCACTGCTTGCGGGTTATCTTAGGAGGCTGACAAGGAACTGGACAAAAAGGGATCCGCCTTGCAAGCTTGTAGATGTTCAAACTCCTGCTCCTTCCCAAAAGTTCCCAATTTTCACCAAACTTCCAGAAAACTTCCAGAAAAGTCAACCACCTTCAGCCAGCCACAGTCAACCAACAAGCTAAAAAAAAAAGAAAATATATATAGTTCCAGAAGAGACAGACTGAACAAGCCTCATTTCCGTAGAAAACTGGGTGGAGGAGTGAAGATAACCCATAGATGGAAGAAGTCCTGCTAAAGCACACAGAAGCCAGGTTTGCTCATGACCTCTTCCATCGACCCCCCAAGTTCACTGCTACCTGCACCTGTACTAACTTGTTCCCTTCCAAGCAGGCAGCAAAGCGTCCGCAGCAGGTTAGCCTGACCCCAACTCTGTGTCAACTGCAGAGGTAACATGTTTTTATTACACACTTTTTGTTCTACAGAAGCAAGATTCTGGCACTATTTGGGGTTGGTTTCTTTGTGAGCAAGAATGGTGGGGACTGGGGTGGTGGGTTTTTTTTTTTTTTTTTTCCCTTTGGTTGGGGTTTTTTTGTTGGTGTTTTGGGTTTTTTTTGTTTTTTAAATCTGAGTGACCAATTCAGACTACAGCCAATTTAGAACAAAGGTTTTGGAGCTCAGTTCAGCATCTCAACACTGAAGTGCTTTGCAGGTCATTTCTTCAGGAAAACAATCACAATACAGCAGTCCAAAAGTGCCTCAGCTTTACAGTAAGATGACAATCTGAGATGGAGCGTGTGGAGGAAGGAAACCTCAAAATTAGTATTTTGTGTCTGTGCATGGCCCCAGGTACATAAACTGAAAGCTGCAGCACAGCATTAAGTTTCTGTACTAACAGATCTGAATATTTCACATTGCT